GGCCCATGTGGATTTGAGATGTCGAGGCTCCCACATTTTCTAGATAATTGGCTCACAGATGGCGGTGATGTCAGCCTTACGCGCCGGCAGCCCTTTATCCCCAGAAATGTTCTTGGTACTCATTTCTGTTAGAGGCTGAGTCGACCCCAGGACCGTAGTGCGGCTGGAAGGATTAGGTAAATTGAAAAAATACACCTCATCGGGACTCGAATCCGCGACCCTCTGGCTTGCAGCATACACTACTGCGTATCTTCTATGAGGACCGTCTAACAGTTATAAATAGGGAGCAGAGATCCAGAATTTGAGAGACCAGAGACCAGTCCGATACTAGTGAGAGTCTTCATAGAGAGACTTCATACGCCATTCGGAAGGAGTTCAATGTATGAGCTGTTACAATCAAGTGCAACTGTAATACGGACGTCCAATAAATCCAATAATCAAATTTAAGACCCGAAATTATTCGTCACGCCTACCCCTTACACGCGACAACTATTGACACAATCAGCCACTGAACCTTAAATATCACAAATATTATAGCGTTATCTTCATATTTTGTGCGTGAAAATTCTTTGTGTTATCCCGTCGCCACAACAGGCAGTATTGACATAGCATGCATTTACCGTTTCTTACAACACACTTCGGCTCATTAAGCCATCATCAGGTATGCAGGGAACGTTAGAGTTAAATACCTGATCATGGCTAATGAGGCAAAATAAATTTTCAGAAAGGGGCCGCGCCATAGCTCAAGCGGTTAGTCGCTGGCTTCCCACCGCTGCGGNAATTTTTAAGGGCGGAAAAATTCAGGAACAAGTCCTCCGGGAGGGACTTTAAGCTGTGGGTCCCGTGTCGTAACTTTACGGCACGTAAAAGAACCTCATATCCCCAAAGGGGATCACTGAGCCAAATTCCAGGACGTTTCCCGCCCAACAATAGTCTCTAACGCCTCCGATAGATGGGGGAAGCATTATAGACACTGCTAAGCAAGTGGCCGAACTCGCTTGCTCGGCGGGACTGATGGTACGCAACATTTATCGGTAGGGCATAGAGACTGGTAGATATCATAGAGGGAAGCACAATAGATCAAACTGGTCGCGGTGCATGGGGAAACCCACCCTCTCTAAATAACTAAATAACTAACTAGTCCCGCCCCACTAGCAATAAGAAAAAAATAATGTTTTAAGAAACGGTAAATATATGCTATGTCCATACTGCCTGTTGTGCTGACGGATTAACATAAATGAATTAAACAATTTATGACTTTAAAAAAGGATAATTTTTTCTGGTTAGTGATCACTGAACAAGTTATAATGAAACTACAGGAAGAAAGGGGGACAGGTTAATGCACTCTTAACTAAGGGTCCTAATTTCGATTCCCGTCCTGCTCTTTCACGACATGCATGCTTCGTTATGTACGTGAGGTCTACTGATCTCTACGCGTAACTACATTTGCCTATCACCACACCAGCATTTTGCATAAAAGCAGGTTTAATTACAGACCCGTCTGTTACTGTATACATTCTGACTGCAGTACCAATGTTATCAAACTGCAGATGCTTTACGTAACAGATATGCTCAGCTCTACGAATGTAATTATGTTACAAAGTTATGAACATTACATGACTGTACACACGACATGAATACAGAAACACGCCTGAGAGATAAATTATTTTACGCATTGCAGCCAACGATTAGGGCATAATTCTCATAATTTAAATCAATGTACGCGACAAGAATCCAATAAGGAGTAGTAAATACGTAGAATTTGTGAGCGGCTTTATCAAAGATCCTAACTACAGAAGAGTTATACATCCTGACAAGTAAAGGACAAAGAAAGCAGTAAAATCCAAAATGAAATACACGTACATAATTGCGACCTGACTACAACCGCCTGCACTCGCCAGATTTTCCGAATTTGAACGATCTTATGAATAAGTGCTTTCATTCTCAATAAACTTTCAGCTTTACTATTTTTATTATTATTATTATTATTATTATTATTATTATTATTATTATTATTATTATTATTATTATCATTATGCTCGCGGTTTTTATGCCGCAATCATGAACGGTCTCGTATATAGAGAATTTTTAATTACATTAAGCATGAAATGCCTCTGCACTAATTTCTAAGTGAAATTTTGTGGTACTTTGGCAAATTCTCGTTGAAAGCCACTGTAATCACATTGCATGCTATTTCCTGCAATCTCGCAAAATAAAATGGGGAAATTTCAACTCAGAAATATCCGAGGTATATGCCTACCTAATGTCACAGGACCGAAGTATGGTGCCGTAGAGCGAATATTGCATTCGGCGTGGAGGACAAACCATTAAGATAACCAATAAATTCTTTGAAAGTGTGGCAAAAGTCCCAATATATGAGAACAGCAACAAAACCAAAATCTGATTAATGAGGAAATTAATATCACATTAAATTCGCGTAAAATTCCGAGGGGGGCAAGATCATTTTCTTCCCCAAAGCGTCCAGACCGACTCTGGGGCCCATCCAGCCTCCTATCCAATGGGTACCGGGGAAAATTCCCCCGGGGGTAAAGCGGCCGGGACGTGAGGCTGACCATTCACTTCCATCTAGTGCCGAGATCAGGAATGGTTGCGCTATACCTCCACTCCCCCCATATGTCTTTATGGCGTGGAGCTTAATTAATTAAGCACGGGGACAACTGTTCCTTTTTAAATTCTGGTAATGATTGCTACCATTCAGTCCAGAAGCTTTTGTCTTCTCGTCTGCTGTCCAAAAATATAAAACTTAGAATATACACGTACAAAACTATAATTTTGCCTGTGGTTCTTTATGGGTGTGAAACTTGGTCTCTGGCATTAAGGGAGGAACATAAATTGAGGGCGTTTGAGAACAGGGTGTTGAGGAAAATATTTGGACCGAAGAGGGATGAAATGGTAGGAGATGTGAAAACTACATATTGAGGAACTCCATAACTTGTAATATTTGTCAAATATAATTAGAAGGACCGAGGCAAGGAGGATGAGATGGGCATAGCATGTAGCACACATGGGGGACAAGAAGAATAGGATTTTGATGGGAAACCCGAAGGAAAGATTCTACTAGGAGAACTTAGCTATGGGTGAGCGAATAATATTAAAATGGATCTTACAGAGATGGGAAGGGGTGGTATGGTCTAGATTGTTCTGGCTGAGGACAGGGACGAGAGACGGCATTTTGTGAATACGGTAATGAACCATTGGGTTACGTAAAGTGTTAGGAAATTCTTGGATAGCTGAGCATTCGGGGCTTCTCAAGAATGCAGTTGGTTAGTTCATTTATTGTAGGGCTTACGGTATCCAAAAGGCTTTATACTTTGCACAACATGGACTGCCGTACAATGGCTTTGTCAATGGATGGAGTTGATTGAAGTTTCCTGCAAGAATTGAATGCAATCAAATTGCGTTTATTTTTCACCGCAACGGCAATTGTTGCACAAAACGTTGTACAGTGAATAGTGATGTTTGTACAAGCACGTACAGTCTTGTCTCTGTCGCGACTGCGTCTGAGCTTACTAACAAAGGCTTCTGGAGGAGATACAGTGAAATACTCAGGGATTCCTACAATCTGGAAGATTAAAAACGATGTATATAAAATATAATTTTGAGAAATGAGAGTTATAACAAATTATTAGCTGCACTACAGCAAGTGGAGCCGACCACGGAGAGAAGGTGTGTGCTCTTCGGATTAAACGCAGTAAACAGCCTTCAAAGTACAAACACGATTTCTAACATCCAGCTTGACGCATGCTGACATTCTGAAAATCCCTCATCAAATGAAATAAGGGCAATATGGCTGTACTGTTTGTGGAGGTGTGACACTGCAACAGGAAGACTGCAGGAAACCATGCGAAACTTTCTGGTGTGGAGGTAAGGCCTCTGCGTAATTCCTGACGGCCAATGAAAATGATCTAGGGAAAGTGCGCGAAGAAGCGGGTTAAATTAGTTTCAGGTTTTCAGGCTAACAGTTGCACGTGAGTCCACAACTGAGCCCAATGGTAAAGCGTTCCGCATCTCTGTGCACCTTTTGTGTCTCCATGGCCATACATGAGACAATTCAGTCTGAGACACGAGACAATTTGACCCAGGGTCGCATGTGTTCCCTCGTTCAGCTATACAGTCCATGTTTCCTTGCAACAAGGGGGCACGCGGTAGTGTAGTTGGTTGAGGCACTATGCTACAATCCGGGAAGTAGCGGGATCGAATCCCGATGAGGTGTGTTCTTTCATTTGACCTAATCCTTGCAGCCGCAATATGGCCCCGGCGAGTAAGGTCTACCTCGCCGCCATCTGTGAGCCGAGTGTCTAGAAAATGTGGGCGCCTCGACGCCTCACAACCCTATAGGCCTCTACGGCCTGTTAACAGGGATGGCTTTACTTTTTTCCTTGCAAGAAACCCAAGCAATTTTGAAACAAACTTCACTTACAAAAGAATATTTTAAATGCTGTGACATGTAGACCCTTTTCTAGGCAACGGCCGAAATACGTGCATACAACAATAGAACCAGTGTCGCAAGAGGGATTTTCTATGTGGCTCGCATATATCCATTGCTACGTAACGGGCCAATAAACATGCATTCTTAATGCGTGTAAGTAGGGGTCGGATACCTCCACCGTAGGCAATGCGAGTCGTAGGCGGGGACGAAAATGGAAATCTCGAATCTGAGACACTAGAATATGGTATTGAGCCCCATGGGACTCGGACCCGAGAATGACTGCGCCGGTGAGAACCAGCAACAGTTTGTAAACGACAGACCCGTCCTTCCGTCAGAGAGAGCGCCCCACATCAACAAACCCAGAACTGTCCGACAGCAACAAAAATCTGGTCGTAAGCTCCAGATGGGAGCTTTATTCCAAGATAGACTGGCCTACTGACCGTCGGTCGTAACATAAGATTCAGACTCAGACATGCATTCTTGACAACAGAAGAAAGTGTTTTCTCTGCAGTCCGTGCCGAGGAGTTATGCGTTGCTCCCTTTGACTCACCGTAAGTATCCGCAAGATGAGCGTTGTGTTCTGGAAGTCGTACTCCAGGCTGAAGTGGATCTGCCCCACGTTCTCTGAGGGCTCCGTATTGTCAATGTACATGTCCACCAAGGAGATAGAGCGGTTCTGCAGGAAAGCCATCTGAAACAAATTGCATTTCATTTAACTCATATGTAGTTACTAGCAAGGCGTTTGTCTCACAAGATAATGTCCGTGTTTTTTGATCTGAGCTTTCTAAACAGAATGAACAGTAGATTCGGTCGAACTCACTGATATAAGGGTTGTGTGCATATATGTTGCTGTCTCGTCACCAGAATGCAGGGAGAAACCATGACATAAAGATTGCTAGCAGATCCTTTGAAAATGTGGCAGAGTTCAGTTATATGGAAACGATAGTAACACATCAAAATTCCGTTCATGAGGAAATTAAGAGGAGACTGAACTCGGGTAATGTTTGCTACCATTCAGGCCAGAACTTTCGTCTTCTCGCCTGCTGTCTAAAAACATAAACATTAAAATATACAAAACTATAATTCTGCGTGTGGTTCTGTATGGGTCTCTGACATTAAGGGAGAAACATAGACTGAGGGTGTCTGAGAACAGTGTGCTGAGGAGAAGATGTGGGGCGAAGAGGGATGAAGTGACGGAAGATTGGAGAAGACTGCATAATGAGGAGCCTCATAACTTGTACTCCTTGCAAACATAATTAGAATGAACAAGTCAACGAAGATGAGGTGGGCAGGGCATGTAGCAGGAATGGAGAAGAGGCATGCATATAGGATATTAGTGGTAAAGCCGGAAGGAAAGAGACCACTAGGAAGATCAAACTGTAGATGGATAGACAATATTAAAATTGATTTTAGAGAGATAGGATAGGGTGGTATGGACTGGATTGATCTGGTTCAGGATAGGGACCAGTGGAGGGCTCTTCTGAACACGGTAATGAATCTTCGGGAAGAGTTTGAGTAGCTGCACAACTGACGGCTTCTCAAGAAGGGCTCAGCTCCATGAAGTTAGTTAGTCAGGGTGATTATGGATCATAGGAGGGCCCTAGTTACGGTGCGTCACTCTCTCTGCTCCCCACATTGCAACTGAAACTACTACCCACTTCTTCTTTGCCATTCTTGCACTCCTCCTCACTTCCCCTTATGCGCAATCCAGAGGACAAGTAGGAAAAGCCCGCCTGTACTCAACAAGCAAGAGAAAGCTTCCGTGTCGTGTGAAGGTTCTATTGAATCTTAACGTTGATCTGTTCTGACACCTTCAAGTATGTTTATCTTCCGTCAGTGTAACAGCAGGACACAACGCGATGGGGAAAGAAGACGTTTACGTTACTTTATTTAAGCCTACTATATGAAAGCAAGGGCCTTTGTGTGGCGTCTTAGCGAACCATTAATTTAAGTGGGGATGTTCTCACACAACAACGCGGCTGATCAATTATTCGTTAACACGCGGCATACAAAGTGGCGCCCGACAAACCCCCGTTGAACATGGGCCTTTATGCCAAATATATATATCTTTGAGACTGTAAATATGTCATGCAATATTGTGTAATTTTCTTTGCAGATATAAATATTTTAGTGTAAACAGAAGCCCAATGTTGCAGAACTAGACATATAAGACATTAGTTTCCCTTGAATTTCTTTTTTAATATTCGCCGTATAACATTTTTTATAAATAGAAGTACATACCAGGAAGGTCCATAAATATTTGTTATGTCACAATGTCTTGGACGGTGATCCAACCTGGAGAAGACTGAAAGTTCGACTTGATCTTAATGTAAAGTACTTACAGCTTATGCATTATATTGTGACTTGTAGAACCATTGCTAGGCAACGACTAGGTAAACACATTCCCGCGGCAACGAATACGCACGCAACAATCGAATAACTTCCCTTGCTATGCACGGCGCTGTAAATCCAACAATAAAGAAAGCGGTGTTTTCTATGGATCCGCCTCGAGACTATATTAGTAGTAAAAAACAGAATCAGAATGGAGCGAGTAGTCGGCGGTCAAGGAAGAAGGGTTCGGCTGAAGATTTATTGTGGGTCACTGCAATTTATTGTGATTGCGAGTGATTGTAAAGGAGTGATCAATAAGTACGAGATAAGTAGATAAGTAAGATTTGAGGTTTTGAAGGCGGGGACTATGAAGGATTTCGTCTTCTGGGATGTGGAGCCTTGTAGATATTGTGTAAACCGACGTTTCGGAGGAACTATCGTCTCCATTTTCAGGGTATAAAAATCCATGAGCGAGGTATCAGCCACACAGGACCTACGCGGCGCCACATCCCAGAAGATGATATCCTTCGTGTGATCAATAAATCCAACCTTCCGATCCAAATCCGTTATTGTTAGTCACGACCATATAGCGTGACAATACTGTACCAAGTAGAACAAAAATGTGTATTCCCCCGACAACTTGAGTACAAAACCCCAGACAATAATCTTATCGAAATAAGTTTATTAGCTTCGGATATGAAACATGTGGGTAGATAATCATGTCTCCATTATATACGTTAATTCCATTCTTTTCACACAAAGATCGCGTCAAAAACAAGTGTAAACAAAAAATAAATCAAACTTGTGTGGACCAGTATTCATAACTATGTTCCTATTCAATTTGTGCTCCTGTAGCAGTTCACAGATTCTGTTAAATTATTGGTGAACTGTCATCACAAGGGCCAACACAGTAACAAACCTTGGTCGAAGAAACCAGGGTAAATGTGGATAGCAAAACTGGGTCGAACTCGAATATATGAAGATGAATGTCTGTGTTTTCTCGTCATAAATCATTTAGGATCGAGAGAAGTTCGAAACTACATAATACAGTACAGGAAGCAACCACTGCATTTCGTGAGAAGTGCATGCACTAATTCTCTTAAACTGAATTTATAGTGTAAAAGACCAATTTATGATCTTACGCTAACAAAAACAACAAACTGAAGCCACGTTCTAAAAGTATTTGTTGTCTATTTAACGACGCTCTCCAGACTATAGGCCTACAGCGTTGAAAGACTGAGAGATAAATACACAATATATCGGAATTGATTTGGAAGGTATCCGTCATAGCCTATAGCAAAAGACTTTTCCGACATTTCGTCAAAAGGGACTGAGGAAGATCACGAAAACTAGACATCTCCAGAATACAAGTGACAAGCTTTAACACTTACTCGGTGAAGCCAAGTATGAACTAAATACGTACGATACGTCTTGCGAGGTACGTAAAACCATTCCCGTGTTCTGTAACATGACATGACGATGATAACAACAATCATGTGATGATAATAATAAGAGTCCAAATATGAAATATATATACTGTCACGTGTATTAGTGACTGCAGACGGATATTTTGATTGGATGATTAGATTTATTGCAACTTATACATTCAGAACTCTGGACTACAGGCAATACAGCGCTATCGCTGATCTACACACATTACAGTTCATCAGTACACAAGCACTTGGGTCCTCCGTCTTCACTAGTCGTATTCTGGTAACGGATTTTATAGCAGTCTGTCACTGCATTACATATGAAATTTTCTTTGCATATCCTAATTAATTCTTGGCGTCTCTTCTAAATCACCTTCGGCTGCCATCTCCAGAACTCGACCCAATTCTTGGCAACTAATCAAAGGTCAAAGTCAAAGTCAAAGTCAAAGTCACATTGCGATTGACGGTCAGTCAATCAGTAGGTCTTGGTGTTGAGCCCCATCTGGGGCTTATGATCAGATATTTATTACTGTTTGACATTTACGGTCTTGTTTTTGTGGGGCGCCCTCTCTGACGAGAGGACGGGTCTGTCTTTTATATATGCTGCTGGCCTTTGCCAGCGCAGTCTTTCTCGGGTCCGAGTCCCTTGAGACTTGCGACCATATTTCACTGTCTCAAATTTGAGACTTCCCTTTTCGTCGCTTTCTACGACTCGCATGGTCACCGTGGAGGTATTCGATCCCTCCTCCACACGGGTCCCTTTCGGCACGGACCACACAGAGAATACACTCTGTTGTTGGGGAGGAGCGTTTGCTTGATCCGTTGCCTAGCAATGGACGGCCTATTGTTGCGCTCGTACGCTTCCGCGGGAATGTGTTCACCGGATCGTTGCCTAGCAATGGGTCTATACGTCACAATATATATTTCAATAATTCCGAGCACTGGAACGTTATTTTATGCGACTTCTGCAAATGTATACGTTAATCACTTCGACTTCAAATTAATGTTAGCTCTTAAAACGTGTGGAAGCTGTGTGTCAGTTCTAGCTGCACATATAGCATGAATTTATCTTCCCTTTCATTATCAGTAGTTTCTTTGGGCTGGGATGGACTCGAGGTACGTTGCAAATACATGTCCTTCCCTGTTAGCTGGCTCTTGATTGTGAATGTGCGAAGCCAATTAGCTACCCTTCTCGTCTGCGGAATGCAATGTATGGCTCCAACGATTCAGTCTATTCCCGGAAGTAGACAGAACTCTGTGACGTTGCAAGAAAGAGACAACGGATGATGCTTCAATGTCGAGCGGGTTGGCACAGCTGCTGCGAGGTTGAACTTACATTTGGGAGTTACCCGGCTCGAATTCCGAAAGGGGCCGTGTCCAGTGTCTCAGACTGTCTATAGTTTTCTTCAGTTATTACAGCCTAACGCCCAGATAGTACCTTCAATAGTCACTGAACATCACAGAGCAATGAACGAAAAGTACAGGAGACCAAAATTTGAATCTTGATTCTGAAACAGTTCATATTGATTTGAGGTTTTCCGTTGTTTTCTACTGTCCCTCCCAGGTAAACTTTAGGGCACTGCCTTAAAACGGCCAAAGATAACGTTATTTATTGTCCCATTTAACACATTTCACAGTAAACCTACCAGCCGAAGATATATAGCTAATTCGATTGAAAAATGTCGTTAAATAGATAAAGAAACAATATTTGCAATTCATGACCACTTCCTCTTGTCTGCGCAGACATCTTGCACAATTCAATCGACATTACATGATTTCAGCGTCGTGTCAAAGGGTAGCAATTGACCCACACAGTGACGTACGACAACACTACCAAAGTCGCTCTTCACACTTCATTTAAGGTTACTCTAGGAGAGGGTTAACGAAATGAAAAGTCGGTGGTAAAGTTTGTGTAATATACGCGGAAATC